GGGGAGAGGGAGCCGGGCGGTTCCTCCCGGGTGCGGAGCGAGGTGTGCTCGGCCTCAGCGTTCCGAGAAAGAGACGAAAAAGTTCTACTTGTATTCGGCACCGAAAACCGGAAAGTGTGTTGTCTAAACAGTTGTGCGATTTAATGATTTCTTTACAAACTCGCCCACGAAAATCACTTTTTAATACTACGTAAACCACCTGCGTGTGTAAGACGGGGCAGCAGTTATGACCTGCGGTTCTCAACAGGAGATGTTGGTCCCGGGAAGTGAAAGTACCGCACGTGGAGTTGAGGCGCTGATCCCCTGAGCGACTCCAGCTGGGACCCGGAACCGCGAGCGCAGGGTTTAGGTTCAGAGCCTTCGCTCTCAGCCGCGGGAAGGGGTGCAGGGCGACATTTGAAGGCTCAAGAGTCCAGCCTGCTGCCTCATCCACTTTTTTTTTTGAAAGCCTTCCATCATGTGTGTACTTTGCTTGAAAGATTATTTTAAAGCACATGTCCTGTTTTTGCCAATTGACAGCTGTTTCCATAGAAACTAGACAAGAAATCGTCATTTCCAGCAAGAGTTGTTAGAACTGTCTTCTAGGCTTCAGCTGTGAGTGCCAGAGTGTTGTACTTGCTCATTCTGAGAAGGTACTTAAAGAATTGAGGATCTGAAGTGTTCTCCGAGGCTAACAATCCGAATTGTTAATTTTCTCACATCATTAATTTTGTAATCCTCGGAGTCTGCCGGCGATGTTTGTTGACCTGCCATAATTCTGTGAGCCCTAATTCTTTCTTAGATGCTGTGTGCTGTAGTGATTGGCTCTACAATATGTAGAAATAGACTTCTCCCCATGTTCCTTACCCTGTCTTGCGGATAAACCAGGGCTTACAAAATGTCAGGTACTGTCTTTAGTTCGAGCGACACTTGTCAGCGATATAAATGATGATGATTTTAATTATATACAGACAGTGGGGCTTTTGCTCTTCTGTCAGTAAAATAAAAGTTTCCACACATCATGAGAGATGAGCAGAAGTTGGCTTGTTGTAGGAGCAGAGCTAAGCAGTGTGAATAGACGTGCATGGGTATAGATATGAGAGCTTTCTTTCCCGGGTGACTCTGTCAACAGAGGTCCTGGATCTTAGCAGTGGGTGAAAGGAACTTGGGAATGGTGTCTGAGAAATAGTGGGAAGCAAGTATTATGGAGTATGTTGAAGCCAATAGAAAATCAGTGGAAATTGCAAAAATAGTTACTCATTTGGGGTTTACAGAAGTAATACACTGTGTAAAAAATTTACACAGATGGAAATACTAAATCCTTATAACTACCGTCCTGCTACCCCACGTACTCATTACAAATAGGCTGTGTATGTTCCTTAAGAAGTATTTATTTTTGTACAGATTAGCATATTTTGTCATTACTATTTTTACAAATCAGGCAGGGATTTTTGTCTGTTTTGTTCTCCACAGTAATCCCTGCCACCCAGAATATTGTCTGGCATGTAATAGGCCCTAATGAAATGTTGAAATGACAATATAGTATTTAGCAACTTGGAGGGAATGAATGAATCAATGGAGAATATAATTCAGAGGTCAGACACTGAATGAGGTAAGTGAATGTTTGGTCAAGGTGATCAGATATCTTTAAAGTTAGTTGCCACCATTTAGAAATTGATGACTTTCACATGGAATCTGAGTTTCTGGCTTTCCTTGGGAGTTTTAAGACATTTGGTAACGTGAGGTTCATGTTCCACCGTGCTTGCCGTACCTCCTCTAGATGAGTAGCACTCTGCATTCGCATCAGCCAGCTTTAACTGATACTCTGCAGCTCGCACCCTCAAACCTATACTGCTCAGTACAATAGCCACTCATCTCACGCAGTATGGCCATTCAACTTTCATTAAAATGAAGTTAACTAAAAATTCTGTTTCTCCGATGTGCCAGCCACATTTCCAGTGCCCAGTAGCACGGGCAGGGGTACCGTACTGGACAGCACGGAGCCAGATCTCTGCTGTTGCACCCAGTTTCATCGTGCAATGATGCTTTAGACCTTTGAGTTTGCCTCTCTTGCAGAACAGAGGATTTGCAACTAGCATGTATTTTAATTATTTTTAAATTTGCCTGTCTGTTGTGACACAGATCTCCATCTTTGAAACGACAGGGTAGTATTTTAGCAGTGTAGGACTGACTTTATGTGAACTGAACTAGATTCTGTTGTCTGGCATTTTAGAAAGATTGCTTTAGCTGTAGTTTGTGGGATGAGCTGGGGAGGAAGCATTTGGTGGTGGATGAAGCAGAGTGGTTAGAGAGTATGTAGTAACCAACAGCCTAAGGTTGCACAGCCCAGGAAGAGCTGGATTGAGAGCATAAGGAGGTGGAATTGACAGGACTGATTTAATGTGGGCTCAGATCTTTTGTACGTTAATAGTCATTAGAGATAATCCAATATTTTCAGGATCTGATTCATTGTTCAAAAGTGGGAAATTTGTAAACTATAGAAAGGACCCTTGGGTAGTTCCAATACTAATGTAAGATATTAAAATGGTGTCAGTTTGTAATATAAGCTAATGTGTAAATGTTATATGCCATGGAAATATCTGAGGAACAAGGGAGGTCTTATTTATTCATTAGCATCTCCTTCTCTCCGCAGTCCCTGTCTCCTGTCTCCTCCTCCCTGGTTCCCTACCTCCACTTCCTTAACTTCCTCCTCTTCCTGCCTCTTTGTAGTCCCTCACTTGTCTCTTTTCCACACATACATTCCCATTTTTTTCTGCACACTACTTTTGCAAAGCTTTGTGTTTGCTTTTTGCTTTGTTTTACCTTAGCACCAACTGTTGCTCCTATTTTTACATGCCCGTGCGTTCCAATGTTGGATATTGTCTTACATAAAATATTTTCTTTGTCAGATACTGATTTCTAAGTTTGTGGTTAGTGGCAGGGGTTACTGGGACAAACATGAATCTTTGGGCCCATCTAAGCTTAGGCTGTAATTGAGCAAATATCTAAAGTTTATCTTCCATATAAGTCTTCATATTTGACATAATGGAAAGAAAACATTTGTGTAGTTTTTGCAGTTTGATTTCTAGTAGAAAGGCTAAAAATACTCTCCTAATTAAAACAGTTTTAAATTTTTTTACATCTACCCAAATGGCATAAAATATAATAGTTGCCCTTCTTATCCAATCTGCTATATTGACATTCCTTCCCCTTTTTATTCATACAATACATGGCACTTAATGAGGAACTGTATTTTATTTCCCCCCTAATAGTCCTAGGTTCATTTTTGCCTTCTCAACTAGATAACCTCTATGATCACAAGGACTGTATTTCATGTGGCTTCTATAACTCCCATGCCATCTAGCCAAAGAAAAACCTTGCTAGCTACCCAGAAACATCATGATGATCACATAAAATTAGAATGGAACTGAGGGAATCTTGTCATCTAATGACATTGTATCTGTTGTAATGCTTGGTGAATAAATATTTTTCACAGATATTTATGTTTTTTTGTGTGTGTTTCAGATAAGCAAAAGAAAGATGAGCTTCATTTATGGACTGCAGTCTACCAGAAACGCTTTTCTCTTCCGATTTAATCTACTGGGCAGCTGGAGAAAGCGGAACTCACTGGCAGTAACTTTAGCAGGCTGCCGTCAGTTTCAAAATCTCTCTCTAGTAAATAAAAATCAGGGGCTTACATCATTCACTTGGTGTGACAGGTTGACATTTCTGCGTGGAAACTCCCATATTAACAGGACTTTCGATAACGGAAGACCAGAGTGCTTCTCACATGCCAAGAGTAAGGACATGTGGGTGATTACCCACAACTGTACCTCGAGGAATGACTCTTTTCCAAGATGGGTACTGACCAAAGAAGGTGCAGTTGCTCCTGCCCTTCCTCCTGCCCTTGCAGCTTGGTGTCCTGTGCCCTGTTCTCTGGTAAGATCTGCCAGGAATTTCCATACTTCTCCACGGATTCAAGCTGCTCCCATTCCTCTCCTGTTGGTCCTTCTAAAGCCACTGCAGAAACTACTTGCAATCATCGTGGGCAGGTAAAATACTTTGTTAAAAAGTGTTTTTATTTGTATTGCCTTTTTTGTTTGTATTCACATTTTGTATCAACTTGTACTAATTCTTAAAAAGTAAACTTTGTTATTTACAAATGTGTACTTTTAAAGAAGCCATATTCTCATATTTAGCTTAAAATTAAATTCTAAATGGTAAGTTATACCCAATTTTATATGTAATTTAATAATGTTGAAGCTTATTTTCTGCATATTTATTGTATAGAGATGTGATCTTTAAGAAGTTATTACATATTGCTATAGATATTTTAAAAGATTTTATATTTGTAATTAGAAGGATTGGAAGTATTTATAATAACTGATGTATAGGAATAGTATTTATAAACATTGCCTTTTACTTCGTGGTATTTGAGACAAAGAATCATGAAACTGGGGAAATTTACTTACATAAGTAAAAGCTCATACCTAGCTAAGTTAACTCTTAAACCATGAATATTTATTTTTCTATTCTGTTTTCAGAAATATTTGTTATTTTATCTTGGTAGGTTTTTTTTAATAGTGGTTACTATTTTTATGTTAAATACCACTACTTCTTTTTTAACCCTGCTTCTCATTTAGTGAAGACGGAAAAAAAGCTATCTCTTCATAAAGATTAAAAAAAAATTTTTTTTTTTTTTTCTGAGACAGGGTTTTGCTGTGTAGTCCCAGGCTGGTCTTCAACTCTCTATATAGTCAGACTAGCCTCAAACTTATGACAGTCCTCCTGCCTCAGCCTCCCAAGTGCTGGGATTACAGGTAGGCTCCACTATGTCCCGGATCTGTTCATGAAGATTTGAGTTTGATAACTATGAAGGCCCTTCTTATCCTCTTGTTTTTTCCTACTAAAAACCCATTTTACTTTTAATAAAAAATCCAGACTGTCTCTTCTGTAACTTATGCGTTTATTTCTTGGAACGATAGCTTTCTGATTTCTAGTGTATTTTTGTCCTTTTCAATTCTTTATTTTTAATTTTGCTTTTGTTACTGCTGTAAGCCACCTAAAATTTCCTTTTAGAATACGTTCTGCCTGCATTATAAATGATCAGTAATGTCACATAAAGTTTTAAATAGGAAATTAGTATGCTTCACAATTTGATTTATGTCCCTTATGGTTTGAACACTGTTCAAAGGCATTTATGTCTGTCGCTGTGACAAAATACCTGAGAAAATCCCCCTAAGTGGAGGTGGAAAGGTTTATTTCAGCTCATGGTTCCATTGTGTGGCTGCTGGCCCTGGTGCTTTGGGTCTGTGGTGGCACATTACACCATGGGGACAGGGAACACAGCAAAGGAGGCCTGCTTCCCTCATGGTGGCCAGGAAGTAAAAGGAAACAAGGCTGGGGTTTTAGTGTCCCCTGAAGGGCACATTTTCTGTGGCCCAATTTCCTTCCACTGGGCCCCACCTCCTAATGGTTTTGCCTGTCCATTTGTGCCATAGGCTGACAACCATGCTTTAATCCATGGCCTGAGGGCCCCGCTTTCAGACTGTAGCATTCAGTCAGAATACTGTGAGAACTTTAAGAAGTTGTTTTGTAAAATGAATTTTTGTCAAGAGAATGATGTATATGTGTTAAATTTTTATTATGATTTTACAGATGAACTCACAAGAATTTTTGTCCCACTGTTGAAAACATTCCTTGCTGTCAAAATGTTTTTGAACTCACTGAGCATTAGAGAGTACCTGGTACAGAGACTGGACCTTCTCAGACATTGTCTATAGATAAGGAAATCACCCATCTCCTTATTTACAGTGTTGCTCATCATATTACCTCTCCTTTCTCTTATCCTAGAAAGACAGTGGAGTTTCCACTTCTGAGAAACATTTATTTCCAAAATTAATGCTGAGGTAGTTTCCTTTGTACTTTGCTAAAGCAGTGGCGGATTGTGCCCGAAAGTCTGAAGGGCCGTGGAAGAATAGTGGTTAAAAGTATAGCTCTATTGTGCAGTGACCCTCAGGCGATTATTGGATATTTATCTCTATGATGTGGCTAAGTGGTCAGACTCAGCATTGTCCTGTCTTCATTCTCTCTCATTACCTCTGTGACCCTGGGCAAGGTACTTCTCTGTGTCTCATTTTTATAACTCAGCTTTTAGGAAGATTAAATGAGATGACATGTGTAATGTGAAGAGTCCTTTGCATGTGGTAAATAGTTAATAAATATTAATTAGCGGTAGTTGTCATAAAAGAACTACTCATTTAGTCTTTGTCCTTAAAATAGATAAAGAAGTTCACGAGCTTCAGAATTTTTAACTGTGGCTGTCTGTAGTTGCTTTTCTTTCACCATTTAGCTAAGAATTTTATAAATTAAAAAGTCATCTCCACAGAGACTGTATCATAAAGATTTAAGTGTTTGATGCTATAGAACTCTAGGGTGTGCATTTGCATTTAGGTGATATGTACTCCTATAATTACTAGCACTTTGCATTTCTCTTTTGCTCTAGGGGCATAAGGAAATGGTGGCAGGCACTTCCTCCTAACAAAAAGGAGCTATTTAGAGAGAGTGTGAGGAGGAATAAATGGAAGCTGTTTCTTGGTTTGAGTACCTGTGGACTGTTATTTGTAATGTTTTATTGTACTCACCTGGAAGTGAGCCCAATCACAGGAAGGAAAAAGCTACTATTGCTGGGGAAGGAGCATTTCAGAATTTTCTCAGAACTGGAATATAAAGCAGTAAGTAGTAAGAGTTGTTAGATTTCTTAAGGAAAGCAGAAAAGTTTCTTAAATATGAAAGATGCATTAGTTTTAAATTTTATACTTTGATACGAAATTAACATCTTTTTCCCAGAAGGCCTCAGATCTTTCACACTTAGTATTCCTGCTGTCTTTATTGCTTTCTTCCCCTTTGCCCAGATGTCACCTGTCTAGCATGTCGTGTTTACTGTCGCTCTTTCAGGGAAGCCTTCCTTCATGATTCATAGTAGCTTGGCAGGGTCATAGACCAGGCACTAGAGGGTATTCTTTGTGTGTGTGTGTGTGTGTGTGTGTGTGTGTGTGTGTCCTTGTTTTTTAAAGTTTGGAGGAGAAGATACAGTATAGTTGGTCCAGTATCTACTTCTTTGGAGATGAACTGCAGTGCTATCAATGACACAAAGGCAAACCAGATATTGATATACAAAAAACCAGGTAATAGCAACAACTATACCACCCTGGCAATAGCAAGAAGATCAGAAACAATAATAGAATCTAAGAATGTAGATATAAATATACCAGAAAAAAATAAAAGCTACCCTTGTAACACCCTTAACCATAAAGATCTATATTTATAATAGATGAAAAGACAACCCACATATTGACATGCAATACATATCTGCTAAATGCAACTATTAGACCACCATTAGCAATAGAAAAGAATTCAACAGTAATAGCATAGAGTTAACTGAATATGTAAAGACTACTTAAGATTAGTAAAGGTGGAGAGGGTGAGGAACAGATGAATGAAAGAAAATTTGAAAAATAATGAAAAGGAAGGGGAGAGAGAAAAGAGATGAAGGATCTTATTGAGTAAAAGAAAAACTGTGTAAAAGTGACAAAAGAACTACTAAGGGGGAAAAATAGGAAAACTGAGGGAAAATAAAGAATAAAAAGAAAAGATAGAATGAAAAGAAAAAACCCCCAAAGCTCCCAAAATACCAGTGAAGGAACAGAAGTGGGGGCAGGAAAGAAGAGAAGGGAGAGGAGGAAGAGAGGGAGGAGGGGAGAAGAGGAGAGAGAGAGAGAGAGAGAGAGAGAGAGAGAGAGAGAGAGAGAGAGAGAGAGAGAGAGAGAGAAAAGGCAGACAGAAAGAAGTCCCCAAACAATTCCTTTATGTTTTTGAACAAGTGGTTCTTTTGCAAGATCTGCAGTATTGGAATCTACCAGATATGAGGGAGAAATCACGAGTCACTGCTATGACCTATTGTTTCCACACTCATTTTGTGTGTATGCCGGGGCCCCATCCCACCTTTCTTGCTGGTTGTGGTGGGTCAACATGTTCACTCTAGGACTTTATAGACATTCTGTATGTTGCCAGTTTCCATGTCTAGAGGGCATCCTTTGTCATGCTGAACTGTGAGCCAGCTCCTTTGTAGATGGGCTGCATACTTGGTGCTAGCAGGGTTAGGTCTTCTCCTTTTTTCTTTCTTTCTGCTATGCTTTTCCTTTGAGTTGCTTACCTGAGGGTAACTTAACTATTTGCTTTGGCAATTTATTATATTTTCTGAGTACAAAATGAAGTTAGAATTCAGAAATCTTAACCCCTTGAAAAGTATAACTCAGGGAGTTACACATTTTGAACTCTGGTGAATTCTTTGAGAATGAAAATGTCATTCTATCTCCAGTGCACAGCATCTCCCTAGTATTTGCTCAGTTTTTTTTTTTTTCCTAAATTGTCATTTGTAAGCTTTGCTTGACAGCTTCAACATGGTTAGCTCTTTGTGTCTTTTTACTCCAAATGAGCTTCAGAGTTTAATCAAAGGAAAATTATCATTAAAAAGAGAAATAGTACTGGCTTTTCACTATAAAATTGTTCTTAATCAAGCTAAGACCAATCTCCTGTAGTGGAGTATATACAGAGATTTGAAATGTTTTCTAGAATTTAGTCTAGTAGGCAAGTATAAGAAAAGTGTTCTGGAAAGATTGAGACAACCCTTACATTAAATTAATGCATTTTCTAGCATTCTTATTGCTAAGAATTTTTTAAAAATATATTTATATATGTATATATTTATACATATGTGTATATGTAGAAATAGATGTTTCTTTAATATTTAATCTACAAATATGCCTGCCTGATATGAAAGTTCAATCACATTATAGACATACTGTAAAGAACTATGATTATACATAATCTTAGCTACTCAGGAAGGTTAATAAATAATGGATTTTTTAAAAATTTCAGGCAGTTGACATTGATGAATAATGCCTTAAAATACTGATGTAAAAAGTATTTTAAATTCATACCTTTAAAATTATGTGTTTTTATAGTAGCTCAAAGGTTACCAACTTGTTGATTGATATATGAAAGAATTGTACATTTTATAGAAATTAAAGTAATATTCTCAGAATATTTTAAATTTTCTCCATATACTTGAAAGGATCTCTCACGAGTATAGATTAAAAAAAAAGGTGTCTTTGCATATAATGTGGCTGTGGCTAGTCTTAACAGCATCATTTAGAGAAAACGATATGCCCATTAGTTCTGAGATTTCAGTAATTTCATTTAGTCTGTGTGAATAAAACACTTTAAAATTAATGAAATGTCTTTTTTGGGTCTAAGTTTAATCTTCATATAAGTTTAGGGTGTTTTTCTATTTAATGTGTTATAAGTAGTAATTTCTTTTTATATCTTGTTTTTTTATGTGAAGTCATTGTTCTTAGACAGTGTTTTTCTGAAATACTTAAGGAAGTAGAAATAATATTTAAGCATTTTACATGTGGACAGGTTGAAAGGATGAAATTTTGATTTCAATACATATATATGAAAAATCTTAGTATTAGAATTTATTCCTTTGTGAAAAACCACATTGACCTTGCATGAATAATTCAAATTTGACAAATCTGAGCATTTAATGTATTCAAATTTTTGCATAATTAAAAATTAAAATGTTCAACACTAAGCAGCCATATAGCTATCCATGAAGCAATATAAATGTTTTATAGAGCTAAAACTCTTAAAATGATTACTTTGCTTTAATCTTTCAGTGGATGGAAGAATTTAAGAATGACATGCTAACTGAGAAAGACCCTCGACACCTGGCTGTTAAAGAAGTGGTCTATCATCTCGTTGAATGCAATAAGGATATCCCAGAAATCTCTGAGATCAATTGGATTATTCATGTGGTTGATTCCCCAACTATTATAAATGCCTTTGTGCTTCCTGTGAGTGTTCTCAAGCACATTTTTATTGTTGAATTTAATGTCCTTATTTTTTTATGGTGTTCTAATTGTTTACCTTATTTTCTTTATGGCACAGAATGGACAAGTGTTTGTTTTCACGGGGCTTTTAAATAGTGTAACTGATATTCATCAGCTTTCCTTCCTTCTGGGCCATGAAATAGCACATGCAATACTTGGGCATGCTGTAAGTACCTAAAATGAATGTTCAGTTGTTGAAATATTGCTTTGAAGTTAGCAAGTTAACGTTGTTTAAAGAACTGGATCTTCAGTTTACTTTCTTTTCTTTTAATGATGAAATTTTAGTTTTTAATTTCTTGCTTTATTCTATTACCTGAAAAAATATGACTGTCTAATTTTAAGAATTTTTATGATATTTAATATTTGATACTGGATAATTACAGTTTCTTAAAAATACTATTTTATCACTTGTCTTTTTTGCTAAAAGGTAATTATTTTCAACCTCTCAAATTAGATTTTAACTTTCCATAATTATTAGCATACTTGTAATCTAGTCAGCAAAATTAATTGTAGGAAAGTGATTTGAGTATATCAGTTTTCTTCCTTTTTATTCATTCTCAGAGGATAGCTTAGAGCATCTCTGAAAATATCTAGAATGACATACCATATATAATTAATGCAGAGTAATATTGGTACCTTGTCGTCTTACAGTTTACTGGGTCTAGTCACATGTATCTTCTTATTCACGACTTTAATACTTCATGTAATATGTATTTATTATCCCTGTTTTACATATGAGGAAACTAATACTTAAAAGACTCCAAATAACACAACTAACCTGACAAAGTGGCCAACTTGGGACTTTAAGCCAAGTCTTCCATATGCAAGTCAGCATCTTCCTTTCATGCAGTTGTCTGGTTGTTGCTGGTACCCTTTGTCGAATTTGCAATGAATGATGCATGTTCCTGTAATTATACATCTATTTGGCTTGGCATGAGATCAAGAAAACATTTATTTTAATAATTTAAAAATTTTTATTCATTAAAAAATATGAATGACTCTTTCCACAATAGAGAGAAATGCATTTTGTTTCATTGGAAACATAAGGTAAACAGAATTATGAAATGCCAAATCTGAAATGTAAATAATATTAACATCAAATGAAAATGATGATGTTCATAATCCTTCTAAAAGTCATCTCTAATTCTGCCTAATCTTAGAGGAGGTGTGTTACAGAAAGTTGTATTTTTATGAAGCACAGATAATAATTATCTTTCTTATTTTTCTTAGTTATAAGGACCTTTGAAAAATATTTTTGTTAAATATATACAAGGACAAAGCTAAGCAATCAATAGTGTCATTATGTGCACTCATATCTTTCAAGTAATAGTGTCATACCTGCAAAAACAAATCAGTTTTTTCTCTTCAGCATTTAAAAGTTGTTACTCTCAGTACATTTGTTTTCTGGCATGCAGCTCAATGCTTTATATTCATTGTATTGCTGTCATCTCTATCAGTGCAAGAACAATAATTAGATGAGACATAAAATGCAAATAGCAGCCTTAATAGAAAATAGTTATTAGTATTTCTTTGCCAGAGGTCTTTATTATCAACACAGTATTTTCTCTTTTGAGAGTCTCAATTTAGAGTCAATCTAACCTTTTATGTTTTCATTCTACACAGATTTTTAAGATTTTCTAGTTTTTTTAAGACTGCATAGTAGCAACTATGGTCTTTAATAATAGCAAGGACTTTTTGTTCTATAGTGACTCTCATTTTGAGTTTTACTCTTTTATTCTTTGTGTTAGAATAATTCCATCATTGTTCTGCACAACACACTGTTCTTATGAAGCAAAGTATTTTTGTGAGGACAGATTATATCGTTAAAGGACATAGTTTAAATCATTGGCTTTAGTTTTCAGCCATGTCTCATATATTCAGGTAATGACTGCCATATTGTTAACATCAGCATTGCATTAGCATTTACTAATACACTTTAACAGTGAACAATGAAAAATGCAGTGTATTCAACTTGCATTAGACATTACAACTCTAAACAACTGTGTTACAGCTGGGCATGGTGGTGATGTCTGTAACCCCAGCATTTGAGAGGTTGATGCAGAAGGATCACAAGTTTGAAGCCAGGCTGGGCATCACAGTGAGTTTGAGGCCAGCCTGTATCATATAGTGAGACCTTATCTCAAAAAAAAAAAAAAAAAAAAAAAAAAAAAAAAAATAAAGAGGTTGATGCAGAAGGATCACAAGTTTGAAGCCAGGCTGGGCATCACAGTGAGTTTGAGGCCAGCCTGTATCATATAGTGAGACCTTATCTCAAAAAAAAAAAAAAAACAACAACAAAATAAAAAATAAAAAATAGAAAGGTATTTTATGTAAAACCTGTTTTGGTTATTGCCATAAGTAAATACAAAAATTCATAGAACTCAATTCTTCGGTGAGAAATACTGAACTTATAAAATTACTGACTTGTTTAAATCATACTTTCATATATTAGGTCATAAAGATCAAAAGGCTTTTAAAATAAGTTTTCAGTCTTTCTGGATTGTTCTTTGTTTAAGAGTAGTGTTTAGTCTTTATCAAAACTATAAATACAATAAATGTGCTTATTTGATATTTAGAGAAGATGTAGATATCAGAAACTAAAACTGCCTCATTTTGACTCTTGGTCCTTTCACTAACATCTATGTGAATTTGAGCTGTTGTTTTTAACCTCTTTCTATGTAAGTTTCTTTATCTATAGAATAGAAATAATTGTACCACTTCACAGAATGTGCTTGTTAATATAAGAAATTGCAAGTGAATGAACTTGTTATTGTTTCTGACTGATAATGATGTGGTATATGTTAGTTACATGTGTGAATGGCTAAGATAAACAAGGGAAAAGAACAGACTGAGAACAGATAAGTATATTGAAGGAAAAACTGGGATCATAATTGTGAAGGACAGACACATGGAATTATTTAATGTGTTTACTCATGATAACTAGAATATATAAGCATATACTGTCTCAGTTTATTAAAATTAACTGTAATTTTTGTTATTTTCATTATTCTCAGGCAGAAAAGGCTAGTATGGCTCATTTGTTGGATTTCCTGGGCATGATTTTTCTCACAATGATATGGGCCATTTGTCCACGAGATAGCTTGGCAATTTTGGGCCAGTGGGTACAGTCTAAATTGCAAGAGGTAAGTCTGAGGTAATAACTTGAATTTATAATGATCTGTTTTGAGGATTTTATGCTATTACTGTAAAGCACAAATACCAAGAATGTTTTCACTTTTTATCAGAAAATAGATGTACCTAGTTTTAGTGTCTTATAATTTCTCATCTTTAGAAGATATTCTTATATGTGAACATTTAAGTTAAGGAATACTACATCTCTCATATAAAGCACATTAATGAGTTTAATAGAGAACACTTTAATAGCAAAAACCTAGGAAATGTCACAATGTAAGATAACTTGTGATCTTTGCTCCATTTAGTTCAGAGTTAACCAGCACCTAATCTCCCTCAAAAGTTTTATAAACCTCATGATTGTAAAGATGAAAAGAGCCATCATTAACTTTGTTTTTATGACCAGGAATGCCCCTTTCCCTGGGCTAGAATAGATAGCTAGACAAATTTTAAAGGTAAACTCCCCTAACAACAAAGGAGTGCTGCATCTGAGTTGATATTCAACTGTCTTGAGACCATAATCAACAATGTGGATTGTAAGAATGAAATGTAACCACCTGAATGAAGTCAAAGTTGTAAAGCCCTATAAAAGGAGGAGTTGTAACCCAGTGTGTGGTCGATCCAGGCACTGCTTATGTGCCATCTACCCTCGTCGATGAGTAAATTTGTTATTTTATTTCCATTCTGCTGCCTCTGTGTATGCCTCTCACTTGCAAATTCCTTCTGTAACAAGTTAGAGGGGTATGGTGTATTTTTGCTTAATTTTGTTTGATAGTACCAGGGAATGCTGAACTATATCCCCAGGCCCCTTTTAATTTTTATTTTGAGATAGGGTCTCGCTACGTTGCCCAGGATGGCTTCAAACTTGTGGTCTTCTCCCTCAAGTCCTTGAGTATCTGGGATCACAGGGTTGTACTGTGATTCCTGGTTGTATTATTTTTTTCATGGTTGCTGGACAGAGAGCAAACCCACCACTTGACTCTTCTCTTCCTAGTGTGACCATGGTGTGCCGCATTTTGATGGGGAACTTTTTAAAGAAACTTCTGAGTTCAAACTAACATTCATGGGACTGGCTAAAGGCATTTTACCATCCTCCTCTCCTGCTGACTCCCAGTTAAACTAACATTGCTTCAAAAATGTTGGAAGAACAGTTTTACTAGGGATTTGTTAACTTTTGTTCTTAGTGTTTGTGTATAATGACAAGCATCCCAAACATAGTTCCTCGTCTTATTCAAAACACTATCACTGAGAGGAGTTCTTGAGATCTTTGTAACTGTTTTGTTAACCATGATTAATTATTTTATTGTACATCTTCAGATACTCCTCTTGTTCTGGGATGTTTGGTTATTTAGGAACAGTCTGTTGTTTGTTTAATGATTTGTGGATCACCCATCAGAATGCCATCTGTGGGCTGTTCAGCTCTAATGTGCAAAATTCTGAGACAAATTGCTTTTCAGATTAGATTACTCTTATTCAGCATTGCCATATTCATTGACTTCATTTATATGGAAATAAAAGTTCTCAAAGGCAGAAAGACTGTTTACTGCTGTAGTTGATCAAACCTCATGGTTTGAACATTATTTCTGTCACTGGACTACTGGGATGCTAAAGAAGTTCATGTAGTTTCCTCCATCTCCCTGTAGATTGCTTTTTCTTAATGGAATCAGATTTGTTTATAACAAAGATATTGTATAGCTATTGTCACTTGAAATAATTAATGAATTCTGCCTCTTCGGGATAATTCTTCAATTTAGCAATTAAATTGAAAATAACGTAGGAATAATTTCTATATGAATTCTTTTTTTTCCTACGTGAAGGCCCCTCCATAATTTTGATGATAGATGTTTCTCTCTCTGCTTCCTATGATGAGGGAACAGAAGTGAATAGTGGAGGTGAGCCATTATTAGGGTGCTGGAATTGCCTACACTCCTTTCCTATTTAATCAGATTGTGATAATAGAACACGGAAGGCAGGATTTTTGTCATCTGAGAACCCCTGGAATCTTGAACTGGGTAATTGTGGTGGGGAGTTGTCCCACTCATTGTAGGATATTTAGCAGCATATCTGGCCTCTATGGACTAGATGCCTTTGTCTCCCCAGCCCCAGCTGTTATAGTAAAAAACACCTCAAACACTTAGGAATGTCCCTAGAGGACACAATCACCAATTTAAAAACCAATGACTTAAGGCATTTAACACAGTACCTGAATACATAGTAAGGACTCAGCAGATACAAGCTACTATTAATTTTATTATTGCCACATTGAATCCTTGCAAATCTGAGAGTTTGGCACTATTATTTGCTCTGTTTTCCATATGATGCTTCTGGCTCTCCTTGAAAGTGTTTTAAGTCAGTTATATGATTGGTAGACTGGATGGAGTACATGCAGACTACTCACTGAGAGTGAGACCTAAAACAGCCATGATTGAGAAGGAGGAAGGTTGTATCTAATGCCATGTACTGTGGACCACATTGATCATTTGCTGGTCATCACAGTTATATACCTGTCCTTGAAAAATTGCTCTCCCAATTAACAGGCTTTTCTCAAAAATCTTGTCTATTGATCCATCTCTTGAAAAGTTTTAGTACTTACTGAAAATTACAATTTAACTGGAAAGTGTTCTCATAAATAATAGTAATTAGGAAAATTAAAGTTAATATATCTATTTATATTTTTTATTTAAACAGAAGAAGATTTTATTTTCCTAACTAGTCAATACTTGGAAAAGGAAATTAAGCTAATTTATCAAAGAAAGAACATTCTGCTATATGGTTAATTTTCTTATTGAAATACATTCTCTAGTAGTGTCATTAGCCATTATATGCCTATATTTTTCAATTTTTATTTAAAATTAGAACAAAATGTTCCTTGACCATATTAAAAGCTCTCATTAATAAAGTTTCCTGGAGAACCCTCTGTTCAGCAGATGGAGATTATAATAATGGAAATTAACTTATGAGAGATTTTCTGGAATTCATAGGCAAGACTTTTTCTATTTTCTTCCATGTGTTTAAAGTATTTGATGGAGAAAAATAAAGATTGTGTGTATATATATATATATAATATATACTTTTTTTTATACCATTGTGTTCTTCAAGTGTTAATTATAGAGTATAGAAATTTTAGCTACTCCATGAAATTATTTTTTAAAAATCTCAGTTCATTACTCCTTTTATTATAAAATAAATTACCTTAATGGGGTTTTTCTATTCTATTTCTTCTTAGTATATGTTTGATAGACCATACAATAGAACATTGGAAACTGAAGCAGATAAAATTGGACTACAGCTTGCTGCAAAGGTAAAATGATTAATAGTTGAAAATACATTGTTCTTCCTATAGAAAATGATAAATATGTGTTGTCTTAATGTTTGGCATGGGCAGAGAATGAGAGCTGATCTATATTAAGCACTTTGTGAGCACATTGCTACAACAAAATATCAGAAGCAACTACTAACTTATAAACTAGAAAAGGTTTATTTAACTCACAGCTTTGGAGGTTGAAAGGCATTTGTTCAGTTCCAGTGCAAGCAGAAGGTAGTGGCACAGTATGGGAATGACACATGTAGAAGCAAAATGGTCATGTCTGGAAATGGAGCAGAGAGAGGGGACACAATTCTTCAAAGTTCTCGTCAAGGGCATATTCCAGTGACCTAAGGATCTTCCACTAATGCCCACCTGCCCAAGGTTCTACCACATCCCAGTAGCACTGCCCTGAGCCAAGCCCTTAATTGTAATGAACCCATTGGTGTCATGCAGACCCCACCCAACCATAGTACCCTTTATGCATTCTTTTTAACTCTATAAAAGTTGAAGATTATGGTCCTTGAGAGAATACATAACTAAAGATACTCATTTAACTCTCTTCTATATATGAAGTTGTATTATGCTTTTGACAGAATATATACAGTTATAGTGCTGTCATTGTAAGAGCATATAAAAATGTCTTAATCTTTTATTGGAAAGGAGTTTTTACATGTATATATTTTTTGGTTACAGACAGGAAATTTGTAAATTGAAATTTATAAGCATATAGTTATGTAATGTCCCAAATCCTTTTTAAAACTTGTGCCCTCTGGAAAGTTAATGCTGTCTTTATATTATTCCTCTCCCTTGATTTTTAATCTGAGGAAGCTTTTTGAGTTAATAAGATGATGTGTATCTGTTTTTTCCCACCTGGAGAAAGGTGAATTCTACTATCATGATCATGGCTGAACAAACTTAAGTTTCTTCTACTTATTTAAATGGTAGAAGAACAATCAGGTATTTTTATTATTACATCTGACTTTTTTTCTCCCAATTCTAGGCCTTTACTTTTTTTAAAAATTGGCTTTATTCCTCTCTACTGAACAGGGCTCTTCAGATTTCGCTATTATTTTACTCACCAGTAATAACTGAGTTATTATAGAATTATCATTAGAAGTAAAAGTACATTTAAAAAGTATAAACAATGCTGTTTAGCATATTAAATGCAAGTCTTAAGTGAGTCTTTAATTTCCAGTAGTTATTAGAAATCACTACTCTGAGCCTCTCATTATGAGTTATTGATTTAATTTTGTAAATCTTGATTTAACTCATTGGCAAACCAAAAATGGCTTTTTGAATGTTAAATGAATAGGATTAAGTGAATTATTGGGCTGCATGTATTCAGGGGCTCCCAAATAAAGGCCACAGGTTTGCTGCATCAAGAATTTCCTAGGGCTGGGGATTTAGCTCAGAGGTTCCACTGCCTGCCTTGCAAGCATAAGGACCCGAGTTCGATATCCGGTACCAAAAAACAACAAAAAAAAATTTCCTAATTCTTCATCTACCAAATTTCCCCTCTATGTTAAGCACATTCTGTGTTCTGGTTAAGAAGCGTTTATCTTGATGCTTTGTCCTTGCCTTACTTCTAAGAAACTTTATTGTTTAGTTATCATATGAAAAGACAAATATTTTTTCCATGTGGATAGCTAGTAGACTCCATTTTTCTACCACATTGGTTTGTTATTGTCTTTAATCCAATACCACAACATCTCTGTGTTTTGTAGTAAGTGTTGGTATGTAATAGTTTCTGACGTTCAGTTTGTTGCTCTGCAGCACTGACCTGGCTATTCTTGAATCTTTGCATTTCCATATAAGGCTTAGTTGCAGTTTATTGAATTACACATCCATACAAAAACATGGGATTTTGATTAGAATTGCTTTGCATTTGTACCTCAGTTTGGGGACAGTTGACTAGTATCTATCATACTGAGTTTTCCCATCCATGGACATGGTATATTTGTCCATTTATTTAGGTGTTCTTTAAGTATTGTCAATACTAGCTTGAATCTTTTTTGTATATAGGAGTTCCATATATTTTGTAGATTTGTTGTAAGTTTTTGATTTTGTGATTGTATCATTATAAAAATAAATTGCTTGTGTCTAGAAATACAATGATTTATATGTCTGACTTCATATCTAGCAACCTTTATTTCTTCTTTTCCATTGTATATACTTTTATCCATTTTATTCTTTTTTTTTTTTTTTTTTTTTTTTTTTTTTTTTTTGGTACTGGGGATTGAACTTGGGTCCTTGCGCTTGCAGAGCAGGCCACTGAACTGCTGAGCTAAATCCCCGGCCCTATCCATCGTATTCTAGTATCTATCAACTTCAATCCAAAGTTGATGGTGGGAAGTTTTGTTCCTGCTTTTAGGGTAAAGAAAACATTTAGTATTTACCATCAATTGTGATGTTTTTTGTGAACTTTGTAATAGGTTTTGATCACATGAATTTTCTATTTCTAATTTTTTAAGAGATTTAAAACATTATGAACAAGTGATGAATTTCATCAATAACATTTGCTGCATTTATTGAGATAGTTATGTGATTTTTCTCCTTTAATCTGATAATGTGACAGATTTAATGACAGTCCCGTAATTCTAGCACTTGGGAGGTTGAAGAGGCAGAGGCAGGAGGATCACTACCAGTTCAAGGCCAGCCTGAAAAACATAGTGATAACCTGTCTCAAATAAACCAGAAAAACAAAAAAAGTCAAACTTTTGATCTTGGAAATCTAATTTTGTCAATTATGTATTGTCCTTTAGTGTATTACTAGAATTGGTTTGCTAATGTTTAGATTAGAATGTTTGTATCTATGTTTATGGGACATAATGGTCCAGAATTTTGGTTTTTAGTAGTGTCTTACCCAGGTTGCATAAAATGAGTTGGGAAGTGTAGTTCATTTTTCTCTGCAAATTTGTTTCTCGGCCTTTTGGCTAAGATCAAGTGCATTTTTCTCTGCAAGAATTTATATAGAAGTAGTGTTAGTTATTTTTCAGATATTTGGAGAATTGACCTATAATTTCTTTTTGTGATTGTCTTTAGCTATGCATGTAGTCTCTAATAGATACAGATTATTCATAATTTTTTTTTCTGTGTCAGTATTTTTGTAGTCTTATTTTACTGAGAATTTGTTTCTAAATTTTCTGTATTTTTAATATCTAGAGGATACCTGTATTTTACATATTACATTTTAAATGTTCTTCTGGTTTCTAGTATTGGTGATCTGTGCCTTTTTTGCTAGAGTTTAGCTCTTTTTAAAATCATTTAAAAAACTTTCCTTTGGCTGTTCATATTCTCTATTATGTTTTTTTCCTGTTTTACCAGTTGCTTTATTTTTTCCCTGTGCTTACTTCGAGTTTCACATGCTATTCTTTTCCCTTGCTTCTTAAGAGGGTTACTTACATGATTGATTTTTAAACTGTTTTGCTTTTCTTGTACAGATACTCAACTTACAGAGGGGTTATTTTGCTATAAACTTGTCATAAGTTGAAAAGTGCATTTATGCTGTTGTTTGACGTGCCCTCCACAGGCCCATATTTTTAAAGGGTGTGGTTCCCAATCTGTGATAGCCATTGGGAATTGGCAGAACGTTTAAGAGGTGAGGCCTACTGAGAGGAAGTTAGGTCATTCGAGGCATTTGTGGGACATAATGTCCTTTGAAGGGACTACTGGAGCTTTCGCTCACTCCTGTTTTTCTTTTTCCACTACTTGGTCACCATTAGATGAATAGACCTCCTTTGTTACAGGTTTCTGTCATAATATATTATGCTGCCACAGTCCCAAAACAACAAGGACAAGCAATTATGGACTGAAACCTCTCAAACTGTGAGCCAGAATAAATCATATCTCTTTTTAAGTTGATTGTCTCAAATGTTTTGTCACAGTGATAGAAAGCTAACACAGTTTAATACACATAACTTACTAAGTATCATAGCTTAGCAGCACACTACATTGTAGAGTATCAGTGGTTTACTCTTATGATCATATGGTTGTGGCTTATTAGCTAGCCCAGGAAAAGATCAAAACTGAAAATTTGAAGTGTAGTTTCTCTTGAATGCCTATCACTTTGTTATTGTAAAGTTGAAAAACTAAGTTGAACCATGTTAAGTTGGGGACTCACTCTCTATCTCTCTCTCTCTCTCTCTCTATATATATATATATATATTTAAGGCACTCTATCTCTCTCTCTCTCTCTCTCTCTATATATATATATATATATATTTAAGGCTGTGCTTTTTTCACTAAGAGTTTTGATACTTGTCCTGTTATATAGGTCTTGATATATTATTTTTTTCTTTACTTTAAAATACATTGTTTTCACTATGATTTCTTTTGCTCTTGATTTATAGGTATTAGTGTTTGAACAATTCATGATTTTATGGAATCCTTATGTGTTAGTCACTTTCCCATTGCTGGGATAAAATACTCCACACTTGCAATGTACAGGAGGAATTTTGGCACATGGCTTAAGTGGGTTCAGTCAGGCACAAATCATAACATCTTGCTTTGTGAATCAGCATGTGATCAAGATTATTAAAATGGCATGTGCTTGTGATTAGAGCCTGCCATTGTGGATGTGTGTTCTACAGACATCAGTTTTGTCAAGGTTGTTAATCTTGTTGTTTTGGGTCTTCTATATTCTTTTTTTCCAGATACCAAGAGAGGTTTATTAACTGTTTCATTGAGGTTGTAGATTTTCTTTTTCTCCTTTTAGTTTTATCAGCTTTTGCTTTGTATATCATCTTTTGTTTGTTTGTTTGTTTGTTTGAGACAGGGACTCACTATGTAGTTGATACTGACCTGGAACTAACTATGTAGCCCAGGGTGGTCTTGAACTCACAGTGATCCTCCTGCCTCAGCCTCCCAAGTGCTGAGATTACAGGCGTGTGCCACCATGCCTGGCTTGTATATCATCTTATGATTGTTTTTACCACACATATTTGGGATTGTTAGATCTTCCTAGTGGATTGACTTTTTTAACAACATAAAATTCC